TATATATATATATATATAGATACAGTAAAGGCATTTTTGGAAAAAAATAAGTTAGGAAAATATAATGAAGAAGAAATGAAAAGAAAGGCAGAAGAGAAAAAACAAGAAGAAGAAGCAGAAAGAACAGCTGCTCAATTATGTAAAATTGGTTCTCGTTGTGAAGTTTGTGTACCAAATCAACCAAAACGAAGAGCTATAATCATGTATGTTGGTATGTATAGTAATTCTTATGCTTCTAGTTTGATTATAAATATTATTTTTTTTTTTTATAATTTCTTTATAGGCAAAACTGAATTTAAAGAAGGTTGGTGGATTGGAGTAAAATATGATGAACCACTTGGTAAAAATAATGGGACGTAAGGCCATTATTATTTTAGATTTATATTGTATCTTTTTAATATCTTGTACATAAGATATAAAAGATATATTTTTTTGATATTTTTAATATATATTTAATTTTCTTTTTATCTTGTTTTTATAGTGTTAATGGAAAAAAGTATTTTGAATGTTTACCAAAATATGGTGGATTTGTAAAACCAATACATGTGAAAGTAGGAGACTTTCCAGAAGAAGAATTTGATTTGGATGAAGAATTATAAAATATTAATATATTTATTTAATGTGATTTTTATATATTAAAAATTAAAATTTAAAAAAAAATTCTTAATAATATTAATTATATATAAAAACACTTAATATTTTCTTCGTTTTATTATATCTGGTCTCCAATTTACTGGATGTGTTTCTTCGGTCTGTAAATGTTAACAAAAAAATAATTGCATTTGTGCCTTAATTATTGGTATAATTAATATATAAAATAACTTTTCTTACAGCAGTATCATCTTCTTTATAAACTTTAATCGTTTTATCTGCTTCCGTTGTAATCATACGAGTACCAGACATGTCAAATGTAATACTAAATACTCCAGCTTCACTATCCATTGAACCCGGTTGAACGGGTGCTTGTAAACGTTGGAAATTATACCTTAAAATTTATATATTTGAGCAATATTGAATAAATTTAAAAAATTCTTACATGAGATATCCTTTACCCTGTCCTCCAGTCCCAAAGATGCATAGTACCATTATCTGCTCCAGAAACTAACACACCATCAGGATTAACAGCCAAACAATTAACAATAGCATTATGTCCAGATAAATTCTGAATAAATTTTCCTTCTGGACATTTCCATTGTTTAATATTATCTGGGGATGCTGATGCAAACATATATCTAATAAATAATATAAATGAAACAAAGAAAAATTTATACAATGAAAATTTTAACAAAAAAAATTACATACAATGATGGATGAAAAGTTACAGCTCTTACACTCTTTTTATGATTTGTTAAAGTAGCTCTAGATTTTCCACCTGCTAAATCCCATAATCGTATAGTACAATCATGACTTCCAGTGACAATCTAATTAAAAAAAATATATATATATATAAAATATAAGTAATTCATTCAATAGCTTTTTTAAAATAAATATAAAATATAGTTTTAAATTATATTATCCTAAAAAAAATTATCTTTCATAATATCAAATACAAAAAAATACCTGTGGTTCAGCTGTCTGACAAATTACACTAGCAACTGTATTGGTATGACCAACAAGTGTATGTACATTTGCTTTGGTACGCATATCCCACACTCTTGCAGTGGAATCTCTTCCTGCAGTTACTAATACATCAATACTAGGATGTAATGCCATAGAATATACAGCTGATAAATGACCATGATAATGTCTTATAACCTGTGAAAATAACAAATTATATAATATTTAATTTATTAATATATAATATAATAATAGAATTTATTAAATATTAATTACTATATATATACAATAAATAATTAAAATTTAATATAATTTAATAACCTTATTGTATTCAAGATCCCAACACTTTACTTGTCGATCTTCTCCACAAGAAAATAAATATGGATGTCGTTGAGAAAATGCAAGTCCACGAACACTACTTATATGACCAGTTAATGAAACTTTCAATTTACCACTTGCAAGATCCCATATCTAGAATATTTAAAAATATTATAACTGCAAATAACTATATGATAATAACAGATAATAGAGAGGATACATAATTTAATAAAAATATTAAATAAAACAATCTTACTTTAATTACTCTATCTGCAGAACCTGTAGCAAACCATTCATTCCCTGGTTCAACAGCACAACATCTTACCCAACCAAGATGACCACTAATAACTCTATATAATTTCCATGGTGCATGCCATTTTGGTTTTGCCATAGAATGTGTTTTTTTTTGTGGCATATGTAATGTAAGATTACTTGCATTTCCTCCTGAATTTGTTTGTGTTGTTATTATATTATTATTTTGTATAGAGTTATAAGGTATAACTGCAGTAGTATTATTTCCTCCAAAAGATTCATCTATAAATACATATCTATTATATTATTATAAATATATTATAAATACATATCTATTATAGCAACATATAAAATAATAAAGATTTAATTATTGTTATTAATAATATAATAAATATATATATGATATATCATTACCGCCTGGTGGGGGAGGATCTGTATTTTCATTTTCGTTTTGTACTTTTATTATATTGTTATTTTTAACACGTTCTAATACAGGACCATAAGAGTCTTTTGCTTTCACAGATTTTTTTATTTTTTGTCTGCAAAACATTATTATATTTTCTGAATATTGATATTGTATATATTATATAGAGAAGCAAAATATATATACTTACAAATTAGGATCCATAGGTGGCAAAGTACCTTGATTTAATAAAAACATATCATGGGTTCTTTTTAAAGATCGAAATACAAGAGTATGTACAGAATGCCTTTGTACATCCTACAGAGAAAATATTTTTTATTTAATAATAAATCAAAATAATAAATTATTATAATTCATTTTTTTTCATCATTTAATAATATAATATAATGATAATAATATAATGATAATTATTTTTTATTATCAACAATAATGATTATTAATTATTTTATGAAAAATACTTCACAACTTACCATATTTATTTAAGATTGAATCTATAATCAATATATCAATCGTAAACAAGAAGAGTAATATAATAATGGAAGAAATACAAAGATAGGATAAAAATATTGAAATCAACGCCATCTCTAGAGTGCTGCAAACGAAACTAATATAGGCAAGAATACCAAATAATAGAAGAAAGAGAAAGATAAAATAAAAATTAAATCGCATCTCTAGCTGCAAACGAAACTAATGTAGACAAAGATAGAAAGTAATAGAAGAAAGAGAGAAATAGAATAAAAATTGAACATTAATGCCATCTTCTAAATATTTTTAGAAACAAGATTCTTTAAAAAAAGTTGGCGCTAAAAATTAATTCTTATTTTATTCTATTTTTGAAAAGATTTCTCAGATACTCAAAAGATGGCATTAACAATCAATTTTTATTCTATCTCTATTTTAGCTAATATTTTTTATCTTTTCTTTATTTGTTTTGACATTGAAAATAATACTGATTTCATAATTTTGATTATCTCTATCTTTCTTCTATTTGCTTTTTTTATTTATGTTTATTAAACTGAAGAATATAAGAGTTTTTAAAAAAAAATCTCATTATTAGATTTTTTTCAATTCATTTCGGGATTTTGAGTTAGATAATGTTGTTTATTTTATTAAGTATTTATTTTGTAATTAATAAAATTAAACATTCAAAAAAAAAATATGCATCATCATCAATTGAACGTTTCATTTTCATACTCCCATTCTTTTTTCAATTTTTATTTTAGATTTAAAATTATGTAATATATGATTCTATGAATACTCTGATTTTTTATGCGGTTGATATTTTAAATATGAAAGAATATAAAGTCTAATTAAGTTATCTTATTAATTATCTTCAACTAATAATTTTTAATTATAATAATCTAAATATTAAAAGTTATTTTTAAAATTTAAGAATTGAAATTGAATTGTTATAATTTCAAAAATAAACAGATTTATAATGAACAATATTTATAATTCAAATAACAACCAACATTAAATATTAATAATTCGATAGATTTCTCATAGTTTATGTTAAATAATTTTTCTAACAATTCGATTAAAATATATAATCATAGAATTTTATATTAGGATTAAAAATTTAGGCTCAGCAATGATCTTTTTTTATTGAAACAATATATTTCCTACAAAAGTTACATTGTAAACAATAACGAAATTAAAATTAAAAACAATTAGTAAATTTTGTTATAACAATTTCAACAAAAAAAAATTTGTAACAAATTATGCAAATTTGAAATTTTTCTTATATTTATCGAACGATTTTTTTTTAGTAGATTTTTCAACATATAATATATCAGCCTCTTTTTTGGCATGAACTTTTGAATAAGTTTTTTTTCTATATGATAATATATAAACTAGTGATTATACTATTTTTTCTCTAAATTCTGTCATTATCTATATAATTTATAGAATGTAATATAAATGTATTAATAAATTACAGAACATAAATCTGAAAAGATTATTCAAATTTGATCTATAGTGAATCATTTTGTTTTTTTTTTATTCTATTTGGCAGTGAGAGTGATATGATATCTTATACATAATAAAATATAAATAATATTATACATATTGATCACATTGCTAGATTTTATCATTTTTAAACGACCAAGTCACTTTTTTAAAACTTATACTCATTTTTTGATTAAAATGACTAGATGTGAAAATAATATATACAAAATATACTGTGATTTACTGTCGCTTATTGTATAAGCCTAGAAATATAACCAAAGTTTAATATAAAAATTATATGGTAGGAATATATGTAGATGAAGTAATACTATTTCTTAATAATGTATCTGAAGCTTGTGACGTAGCAGATCCTTTACGAGAAGAACGTTTATGAGGATGAAGGTTAAGGGGTGGTAAATTTGGATGTTCGATTCGTGTTGGTGAGCTAACGCGTGGCCGCGATGTTCCTCTTTGTATACCTGTAATCAAAATTAAATTATAAAGATATGCTAATATTAATTAATTAATGCTATTCATTAATTAAAATGTTAATAAAATAATACTTGGATCATTCGATTCTAAAACATCACTGAGTTGATAATAGTCAGTCTTCATTAACGAAGGTTCTTCGTAATCTACGAAAGCAGTGTTATCAAAAGCTTTGTCGTCCTTTAATCGATTTTGAATCGGAGTTGTAACCGGAGGATCTGCGTAAGTCTGAAAAATCAATTATCTATCTTCAGATATTTTAAATGTTTCTTTACTTCATTCAGGAAATGTGCAACAATAAAGTTATTTCATAATATCTGTTTATATAAATTGTATTGAAATTTTCTTTCTTTTTTTCATTATTATTTATTTAGTTAATATTTTTTTTCTTTTATATAAAATAAATAAAAATTATTTTTTATTACGAACAATTTTGTTCAAAAAAATTATGAATTAAAGTGAATTAAAGTATAACTACATATAAAAACATAATATTAAATTGCCTTAAGTTTTACATGTTCAGTTGGCGTAGTTGAACAGGCACGTTTATGAAATTGTCCACCGCCGATTGTTTCATAAGTATGTTCTTCTAGATAATGTCTAGTAGTACCCCGTGGTGTAAGAGTAGCCCACATAACACGACTATCTTGCATAGTATCAGCTCCACAGGGGTAAAGAACAGCTTCATTTTGAATTCTTCCGTTTTTTGCTTGTATACCAGATGTCGCATTTGGTATAGAAATTACGCCACTTTTACCACTTTTATTACTATAGAATAATATTAATTGATTGTTTTCTGTACTATTGTCTTGTTTTTTAAGTTCAATCGTTAAATACTTCATTCCATTGTAATATAAAATTATTTCTTTTGATTATTTTTTGTTTTGCTATTTTTACAAAAGAAATAGAAAAAGAAGACTTACAATTTGCATTTTAAGAGTAATGTTGCTAGTACGATGCCTATGAAAATTACACCGATGCAAGAAGATATTAGAACCAGCAACCATGTGTCATCGAAAACTGTTCCTAAAATTTTAATATAAAAATTATTTATTTACAGATATAATTAAATCGATTAAATATATTTTTTTTCGTTTTGTCCTTTTTTTTTATATAAAAATAAACATATTTAATAATAATTTAATTATTTAATAATATTTAAATTAATATATATATATATATATAATAATAGAAAATATTTTTATTTTCTTTCAAAATAAAAGTACAAAACGAATTATATGAATAAATTAACGTAAAATAAATAAATTACAAATTTGTTAATTAAACCTTGTTGAGGCATTTCTATGTATTGAACTCCTTCGGAACGGCGATCGCAAAAATGTTTGCAAGGGCTGTCATTAAAATGAGATGGAAACGATAATAAATCCGTGTGTGGATAAAAATCTGAGCTATGTTGAAAAATGGCTGGGAACGGTGGTGGCGGTATATGAAGGATGTCAGGCGGTGGTTCGAGTGTACAAGATGCACAACCCGAATTATTCGTTGTTAAGTCAAAACCTCTCATCTATTATTAATATTAAAAAAAATTAAAAATTATTAATTTTCATTATATTATTAAATAAAAGTAAAAGTTATTTAAATCTTTCATATTATTTCTTTAATTAATTAAGTCTTACATTTATTTTGATTTGTGATGATTGATAAAAACATAATGAACAATAAAATTTTAATTTAATAAATATTACTTCAAATATCTGTATATATTTGTTTATATAAAATAAATATAATTATTTGATTATATTCGATGTTTATAAAATTATTGTATTTTATTTATTTTTTGCTCTTTTCTTTTTTGTTTGATATTTTCAATTTCCAATATTTTTATATTTTTGTATTATCTTTAATTTAATTAAAAAAATAAACAATAAAAATTATATTATTCAATATATTTTTCAATAAGAAACATGCAAATAATAATAACATCAAAAAGTATATTCTTACCGTTAAATAACACGTCTCTATGAAAGTACATACCATTAAAGCGACTACTGGCTTCTCTGGAAGAAAAGCGCACGCGTTGTTGTATTGAACGGCGAAGAAAATTTCTCACCCAGTCTTCTCTTTATATCTGTATAGAATAATAATAATAATAATATTCATGTAGTAATATTTTATATATAATTCAAAAAAAATTAATAATGCTATTTTTATCAATTTTAGTTAAATTATGTTTTTCATATCATTAAAAAAAATAAAATAAATTATATTTTAAATATCTATAAAATATAATATATATTATATAATTGCAAGATTTATAGAATTAAGATTTATAGATTGAAACATAAACTATAATAATGAAATTTCGATATATGTATTTATATATACATACATATATTTAATATTTAAAAAATATATTTATATTAATCTTATAAATAAATTGTTATTTTCATTTATTTGAATGTAAATAAACATTAATAAATTATTTTAAATAAATGAAATAAGCATTTTAAACAAACATTGCATATTAGTGATGCCTATCATTATATAATTAAATATCTAAAGCATAAAAAATAATTTTTGTATTTCTATTTGTATTTTATATTATAGTGAATTATTGTTTTTTAAATTAAAATACAAATATAATAATATAATAAAATGTTATACAAATATTATACAAATTGTAAGAAAGAAAAAGTATATGATTCAAACAGAGGATAATGAATGATAAAAATATAAACATGTTACGACTATAATCAATACACTAAATATGTAGAATAATTTAATTATTTCAAAACAAAATTAGATTATTAAATGTAATTATATAATGTTTATAAATTGTAATACAAATTTTTTAAATACAATTTTTTAATAAATATATGAATATTTTTTAAATTCAAATATAGTACATTGATTTTTACGCATGGTTCCGGTAAAATCAGAACTGTGTTGTGAATCAAAAAATATATTACAATATTTTTATTTAAAAAATTGATACTTATATTTGAAATTTAAAATAAGTTTGATATTTGATTATATATATTTATTAATTTCATTTTTAATTGATTAAATTTATTCGTTTATAATTTATTGATGGCAAGATTTTATATAACCTGTACATTAGTTAATTGTAGTTATGGAGATAAATCCGCTAAGTATAATTCTTGTGAAAAGTGATAGTAAAGGTGATAGACTTTTATTTCGATATCCACATGTGGCGAAACATACACGAGATTTTAATCAATGTACTAAAAGAAAAAATCCTTATTCCTTAACTATCACAGAAGATTTATTGCAGGTCAATTTTTTTTATATAACGTTATGATTTTTTTATATAATTTTAATAATAAATCAACATCATTCAAATATTAAATTATATTTTAAACAAATGTAATAATTTAATAATATATAATAAATTTTGTTAATAGTCTTTACCTTTTCCAATTTCTAACATAAGCAATGGAAATTTAACTGGAGTTACTGATGAAGTATTATCAACATTATTTGCTGTTAAACCAGAATTATGTGAGCAAAAATTTGAATTAAAAGTAAATGATGTTCGGTTTGTTGGACATCCAACTTTAGTTCCATCTCATGGTATGAAAGAAGTTAATTCTTCAATGCTTTTTAATATAGTTTTTGCTCTACAAGCACAAGCCAGTCATTCTATAGTAAAATGTTACTATGATTTAAGTAAAAGGTTTGTTATATAATATAATATAATATAATATAATATAATATAATATATTATTATATTATGTGTAATATATAAAAAAAATAATTTTATTATTTGCCTTAGGTTAGGTATAGCTTTAAGACATGAAGAAAAACGATGTGGATTTTTAACAGAAGAAATAAAAATTATGGTTTCTACTCATGATGAAGTTGCCACAAGGTATATATATAAAATAAAAGATTAATTAGAATTTTTGTACTATTATTATATTTATATATACATATAGATATAATTAATCTATATATAAATATATATATATATATATATATGTATTTATTTATTTAGATCAGAAGGTGAAAGTGATTGTGATGAATCACCTTATGAATTAATATTACAAAGAAGTTCACTTTCACGTGATTTGAAATCTGTGTTTAGTAGTCTGACTACTTCTGGTATAATTAATATTATGATTAATAAATGGATTCAAGTACGTTTCTGTCTTCCTCAAAAAGTTCATCAATCTCACAAAAAAGGATTTGTTATTAATCCAGAAATAATAGATAGGTTAATATTATATTATAATTATATTATAATTATATTATAATATAATTATCAATCAAAATAATATTACATATTAAATTTTATTACAGATGTTTAAACAGTTTAAGGCCTTATCATGGTATATTATTACTCATTGAACCTTTAGATTTATTGGATTCACTTCCGATAGATTCTTCTCCAGCTCTTAAACGCTTAATTCAAATGTATAGTCCACTGAAAAGTTTACAAACTTTAGCTGCTGATTCTGATTTAACATTAACTCAAGTTTTTCAATTAACTGGACATTTAATATATTGGGCTAAAGCTACTATAATTTATCCTCTTTGTGAAAGTAATGTTTATGTTGTATCACCAGATGCTATTATCACAAATCAATTGTTAGAATTATTTTCTGAAGAATTTCCAGGACTTTGTTTATTACAAGTATGTGAAAAAATTATTTATATCATTCAGAATTATTTAAATTATATGTAATATTAAATTTCTATTAGTATAGGTTCTCAGTGATTTTTCATTACCAACATCTATAAGTCAAAAATTAAATCCTTTAAGTCAGTCACAACAACAAACACAATTAGTAAAAACAATAATATGGTTATTAAAGAATCATTTACTTCTACAATTACATACATATGTACAATATATGCCAACAGTACATGGTCAAGTATCATTGGTGAGTTTAAAGATATTTATTTTTTAATTCATATATTAATTTGCTATATTGTTATCTGCTTTTTTAAGGATGCAAAAGATGAATTGAATCATAATTTAAATGAAATCACAGAAAATAGTAATGTATGGAATTTAAATGATGTCTCAAAAGCTTCTGCTGATATAAACGAAGAAATATCAATAACACTTCGTAAAGAAAATGGAATGTACAATTATCAATCAGAAGATTATGATATTCCTTCTGATGACAGAAAATTACTTGACAAACTGTGTCGTCTTGATTATTTTAATGGAGGCTATCATTTAGAAGAGATTATGTATTTAGAAAATATTCGTAGATCCCAATTATTACAGATTTTAGATAAATTTCGAGACATATTAATTACATGTGAATGTGAAGATCCTGCTATAGCTCTTTTTTATAGCCAATTTAACTCCTAAAGTTTTAATTCTAAATAGATATAAAAAAGATTTTAAATTGTATATAAATTACATGTTTTGCAAAACATTTTTAATTTCATTATCATTTTTACAATGATATTGATAATATATTTAAATATACAATATATAAGGTCTCATGATTTATAATAAGACATATTTGTATGAAGTTTTTTTCATTGTTTTTGGTTATTATATAATTAATTCTTAAAATAGGTTCCAAGGTACACATTATATAAAATATAAAATTTTAATATATTTAAAAAATTCATTTTACAAACATATTTAATGTTTTTTAATATTTAAAATTTTCCTTATTTTATTTAATTAAACATTTATTACAAAGATTTTTAAAATTTACATGATAATTGTTATTATACTAAATTGAAATATTAATTACATAATGATTATATCAAATTCAAATAAGCAAAAAAAAAAATTATATAAAATATATATACATACTATATAATTAAATCATTAAATAAATTAATTTATAAATTTTGCAT